ACAGCATGTGGCAGACACTGGCTAAATGACCAAAGCAGAGTTCTTGGCTCTTTCCGGCTCCCTGCAGCGCCCACGTGCCGGCCTACGCCTTCCTCACAGTTGCTCATCCCGCCTGGATCGATTCTTCCTAAACGCCTCTGACCACCCCCCCTCCCCCTCCCCACTGCCCACACCGGCCCCAGGCCTGACCCTCTGGAGCGTGGAGACACAGCACCCGCCTGACAGCCTCCCTGCCTCCGGGTTTGGTTCTCAAGCCTCCGATCCCCACCCGCCTCCCCCAGGTTGCCCCAGCCTCCACTCTACGGCCTCCAGGTGCTTAGTCTAGAACATTCTCATCCTCGTCTCAGGATCCACCTGACTTAGTATTTTGTCCCCAAACTGCCAGTCATCTTTCCCACACCTCTGAGCCTTTGCACCGGCAGCTCTCCCAGCCTGGAGCCCCCTCCCGCCCACCTACCCAACCCCCCTTGACCTGGCTACCTCTTCCTCATTCCCACGCGGCAGTTTAAATGTCCCCTCCTAAAAAGAAAAAAAAAAAAAAGATGTCCTCCCCACCGCGGTTGGTGTGGTCCCACAACATCCCGCACCGGTTCCGTCTCCTAGGCGTGGACTCCCAACTCTCTGCCCCTCCTGCTCCTCTGCAGAGCCTGGAGGCAGTGACCATGTCTGCCCTATCACCCTCTTGGGCATTGACACACAGTAGGTGCTCAATTCTCTGAATGAATAATGAATAAAAGGATCAACTTTGGACTTGGTGCTAACAGAACTTGAAACCCTGCAGTGTTCATATCTCTGCCGTTGCAGGACTTGATGTATGACCTTGGGATTTGGGATGTGACCTCACCGAGCCTTTGTTTATTCAGCTATAGGAAAAGTCATTACCGAGCGTTTGCAGGATGGTTTGAGAGTCAAGTGTGAACATCTGTGTGAAAATGCCTGGCACCTGGAAGTCACTCCATAAATGCTTGCAAATCTGTGGGTGCAAAGTAAACAGCCCTGTGTAACGTGGAGAGCTTGTCTCCGGGGCCAGGCTCTTGAGTCAGGCTGCTGGACAAGGCGCCCCACTCCTCCGGTCACTAACAACACAACCACGTGCCAGATACGTGAACCCTTATGCAACTCAGTTTTCTCATCTGTAAAATGGGAATGATGAGGGTACCTTCCTCACAGGACTGCTGTGGGGTCCAACTCAGGTGAGGGCCTGGCGACTGCCCGTGCCCACTGAACACTAGCTGGTGTCATCGCTACCCACATGGAGCACTGACCACCGCATCCTGACACCCTTATCCATGCTGCTCCTCGATAGGCAAAGAGGCCAATTTCCAGAGGGGTTAAGTGAGGGCCCAAGGTCAAACAGGAAACGGCAGACTTGTGCTTCAAGGCCAGGTCCGCTGCGCCCAAATCCCCTGTTATTTCCACTCCATCAGAGAAGCGGCTCAAAATAGGCCTGTGGCATTTCGGCTAATTTCCTCTAAGCCCTTCCCAAGTAACGAACCGTGGGCTCACAAAGCTGCTCCCCCAGAGCATCCATTCAGCAGCACTAAGTACGTGTGCCTGGCGGGTCCCAACCTTCTGACGGGCCCATGCCAAGCCAAGTCTTGCCGGGTGGCCTTGCCTTCTCTGCAGAAGGGACCTACAGGGGACAGCTGGATGGGGAGGGGGAGGTGTGTGGCACCAGCGTTCCATCAAAGAAACTGAAGACGCTCTGCATGTAAAGTGGGGGGAAGAGGAAAGCTGCCCTTGCTGAGCATCCGCATGTGCCGAAGCCGTCACTGTCTTCTACCACCCGGTCCTCACTGTCACCAGCCAGCTTCCACTGGGACCAGCCCTGCGTTAGGGCCCAAAGATGAGATAGAGGAGGAGACCCAGCCTTGACCTCCAAGGTAATGAGGGACCACACCCCCCCAATAAAGAGCCGCAGACGTGATCACAGAGGTCTCAACGGGTGGCCGTGATGGGAAGCCGGGAGCCGTTTCAGAACAGGGTGGGCAGGTTCTACGGTACCCATTTCACACACGGTGAGACTGAAGCTCCGGAGGGCCAACTTGTTGGGAGCCCTGCGGGCACCGAGCAGCGGGGTGAAGCTGTGCTCCAGGGCCTGCCCGGTCTCCAGAAGTCTCTGCTCTCTCCCTGCAGGCAGCTGAAGAGCTGTCCCCCCCCCCCCCCGTGCTTTTCTCAATGATGATCTGGCCAGAAGATTAATCAAATGCTGCTAAAGCTGCAGCCACCATCGGTGGCTTGGGGCGAGCTGTTTCTACAGACAAATGGAGGTTTCAGAGCTCCTGGTTCCTTTTAAGCAGAAGGTTCAGGGGTAGGGGATGAGAAGAAGGGCCCTACCCCCAGTGTGAAGGGACTTCCTGACGGTCAAAGGCATCCAAGGTGACAGGCATGAGTGAGGGCGAGCCTCCCAGGCCATGTGACCTCACCCAAGGCTCTCTCCACCCCCCAAACAGCCCAGGCGACCTCAGAGGCCTGGGTGCCTGCCCCTCCTGTTTTCCTCAAGGACAGCAACCAAGGAAAATGGCCCACTGGGGCCACTGGTGAACTGCTAGGTCCCCTGCCTGGTGGGATCCGCAGACCAGCCCCTCCCCTCCCAGCTCCCAGCTCGTCCTCACAGGACAGAAACCAAATTGGAGCAATCTTTACCCTCAGCCTGCAGGCACTGGGCAGAGCTGAGAGAGTCCCGGTTCTTGTCTCCTCTTCCTGTACCAGAAGCAAAGCCACGGCCCCTCCTAGGAGTCCTTCCCAGGAGGAGGGTGGAAGAAAGGAAAGTTCTGTGCAAGGTGGAGAAACAGGTAGTTTTTCCACACTGAAAAGAACGCACGGGCCCTACCTGCCAATCGGCTTGGAGTCAGGCAAAGGGCTTTCCACCCTGAAGAATCGGATTTTAATTCAGTCATTTTATTCATCTACTCTTCCATAACCACCAGACCACTGAGAACTTATCAGGCAAATGATCTCAACACAAAAAGTGGGGAGAAAGGAAAGAAAATAGGGAAGGGTTGAGCTTTGAGATGGAAACATCTCGAACCCTCCCCCAACTGACCCATCAAACTCACCGCTTCTCTCCAAGCTCCCCCCACCAAAAATAAATAAATAAATAAAAGGCACGCACCCACGTCACACCCCATGTGCTCTCATTCACTTAACTATGAAACTGATGGGGGGGGGATGTCATCACCAGCAGCAGGAATCAGTGTGCTGCTTTTTCCCAGGGTCACATCAGAGGAAAGTTGCACATAGAGAAACAAGCGGTGATGCTGGAGACCAACCCAGGGACACGATTCCGCTGAGCAGGGGGAGGGGCGCTGAGGTGCTCAGCTGTTCTAGCTGCGAGATGCTTTCTCTCTTCCAAGCCCCGTTTATGAATGACAGAGGAAACTTGGAAAGACACGCATCTCGCCCACTCCCCCTGCAAACATGTTTATCCTCGAAATGAAAATCATGGCCCAAGCCCCAGTTACCAGTCACCCTTTCGCACCCTGATCCATGAATAATCTTTCCAAAATGTCTGCTCGTAGAAGCAAGATTCGGGATTTCACGGGAAACTGCCGAGAGACACAGACAGTACAATGCGCACCCCCTGATCGCCGGGGAAAGACAAAGAGGGGAGAGGGGACCGACCAAGAGGAGGTGCATCTACCAAGCCCATAAACCCAAACAGGTCCACCGAAAAGCCGCGAGGACAGAGGCTCTAGAACAACACGGGGCGCGGGTCGGTAATTACCATGCGGGTCCCATTGCCACCACTTCCAGGCAGAGGAACGGCTGGCTGAAGTTTGGTGCCCGTCTGCTGGTGCTGGGAGGGTTGTATTTGAAGCTCTGGGCACGTAGGGATGGCATGAGAAGGAGGCTGAGCTGGAAGGAACACCAAGGGGGGAGGGCAGGGAGAGTGCGAGCGAGGGAGAGGGCGAGGGAGCGAGCGATCTCTGGCTACGCCTTCCTCTGAGCTCCGCGAGCCCGGGAAGCGCTCATTCGAGGCCGGGGGAGAGGAGCAGGAGCAGGCGCGCGGCCCCGCTCGGCCCTGGCCCGGCTGCCCCGCGGGAGGGAGGACTCGGGCCGGCGCCCCCCTCCTGGCCGGCCGCCCTCGGGCCGCGGAGCGCGGCGCGCGCAGGGAGCTGTCCAGTTCAGCACCGCCGGGAATGCAGTAGGTGGCCGCGCCTCCGCCGGGGGCCGCGCGGGCAGCGAGGGGGCAGGCGGCGGCCCATCCTGCAGCAAGACGCCGGCTCCCCGGCTTCCAGGAGCTTTGCAGATAGGGGGAGGGAAGCCCGCCTCGACTCTCCGGGAGAAACCCCCTCCCTCCCCCACTTCGCCAACACTGCCCCCGCCACCAACAACAATACCCGCCGCCGCTGCTCGTCCTGCCGCCGCCGCCGCCGCGCCTGCCCGCCCTGCCGCCGCCGCCGCCGCCGCCGGGGCCGAGCCATGGAAGGCGAGACCCCCGCACCTGTGCCGCTGAGATCAAGGGCTTACCGAATACTGGGCAGCCGGGTCTGAAACGCCAGCGCCCGGGACCCCCCAAGGAAGAGAACTGGCGAAGCCAAGGATTTTCATGGCGCAGGCCGCAGAGCCGAGAACCAAGAGCGAAGGTTGCATCTGGGCTCTTCGGATCTCTAACTGTCCAGGTCCCGACCATGAGAGATGGTGTTGAGCCCTCGGCCGCTGCCTGGTTCACTGTGGAAGCCATCTCCAAATTAGCTATCACATATGGAAACTGGAGACCAGAATTTTAGGAAAAGAGATTAAGGCATCTCACTTGGGGGGGTGGGGGGTGTCTTTTTATTTTTATTTTTTCTTTTTTTTTTTAAAATCACTGCAACTGGAACAGTTTCTGATCTCAAAAGGCAAGCCTCTCTTCCCGTGTGATCTTTATAATTTACACTCTTCCGTGAGCTTTCTTACCTTCCTTTTTTTTTTAATCTCTCCACACTCAATTCATACATCTATCCATTTTATTATCAGTGGAATTATCTTTAATTTTTTTTTTTTTTTTGGCGTTGGTACTCGCACCCTCACACACACTCTCCTGAGAACCCGAAGTCGGTTGGGTGTTTATATAATGAAGAATTATGGGGCTGTTTGATCGAGGTGTTCAGATGCTTTTAACCACCGTTGGTGCTTTCGCTGCCTTCAGCCTGATGACTATAGCTGTGGGGACGGACTATTGGCTGTACTCCAGGGGGGTTTGCAAGACGAAAAGTGTCAGTGAGAATGAAACCAGCAAAAAGAACGAGGAAGTTATGACCCATTCTGGGTTATGGAGAACCTGCTGCTTAGAAGGTATTTGATTTCCCATTTCCTCCTCCCCCGCCCCTCCCCTCCCCATTCCCCCTCCCCACCCTCCTCCAAATAAGTCCCCTTTACATTCCACCATTTTCTTACTTCCCTCCCTTCCACCACGGATCAAGGTTGGTCGGGTTAGTTTCAGAGGAAAGAAAATCAATAAGCAAAAACCGTACTCCACTCTCTCCCCTCCACCGCCCCCTTCCCCGACCTCTTCATTGGCACCATCCATGATATGATGGAAACCAGAGAATGTCTTTAAAAGTCAAATGGGCTCTGCCTGCACCGGAATCATTAGGATTTGCTTTGGGTTTAGCCCTCCATCTATGAGGAGGGGAAATAATTGCTTCCCTCATTGATGCTCATCTGCTGGCAATGAAGAATTCAAAAACGTCCTCCTTCTCCTCTCCCCTGACTCTCCGAAAGTCTCAGACGCATCGCCCTCTTTAAATCTCTTTCTTTTTTAAAAAGAAAAAAACCTGCTATTTCTAAGAATCCTTATTTGGTAAATCCTAATTATTCCAGGATCTCAGGCTGAGTTCAAGAGCATTTCGTAATGTCTATGAGCCACACAGATCGTTCGAGGCGGCTGGCTGCATGTGCATGTGTGTGTGTTAACGTTTACAAAGTCTAAAAATACATACGTCTCTCACAGGAAACAAGCCCAAGTTCTAATAAACAGCAATTCACTTGCGGGTTAGGCTGAGGACCAATTCCCTTTCACACAGAGTGACATGTCTGTCATCCAGCAGCGAGTGGAGTCAGCATTGTGCAGGGAGGGAGGGGGAGGGAGGGAGGGAGGCGCGGGCATGGGGAGGTTGAGGGGAATGGGGGAGCAGTGAGGCCAGGGAGGGGGTCAGTAGTTGGCGCTGACCACTGAGGCGTGTGTGCAGGGTTCTGTTGGCCAGGGGGGCCCTCATGGTGTCGAGGCTGTGAGACCAGGGTGTGCATGAAGGCGTGTGTGCCGTGGGACACACAGAAAAAACTCTGCGGGTCATACGAGCTGCATTTAGCAACAGACTTTCATGTGAGCGAGGGCATTTGCATAGCTGTATGTCTGTGTGCATGAGCCACCCATAGGGAGACGTGCACCAAGGTGCATATGTGTCTGCGTGGAAAGCGGGGTTTATGTGCTCTGCTTCTGATGTGAACCAAGACCGGAGGCCGGGTCTGGGAAGCAGGCACCGCAGGATTGTTTGCTAAGCTGGACATGGGATGGCGATGCAGGGAGGGAGGCCAGGAGGTGGGGGAGAAGAGGGAGAATCGGACGGCAGAGGCAGAAACTAATGTGGCCCCAGGGTCTGACCCAAACTGAGCCAAAGCTGCTCTTTGGGAAATGGTTACGTCTGGGAGAGAGCACAAATTCCATGTCCCCTTCCCAACATTCTTGGTGCGAATGGTTGAGTGACGGCTGAACATGTTTTGAATAGCTAAGTGACTTCATTGAGCCATGGTCTGTTTGACGCATACTGCATTTGGTGCCCTCTCTCCATCCAAGCCGCTGCCTTTAACATATTCTGCAGAGGACCTCTATGCTGAATGCCACACGCTCTCCCAGCCAGAGTCGGTTTCAGGAAATTAATAGGGACTGTTTTAAACACACTCATACACACCCCACCTTACCAAAGGAAAAGCCTGCATACCGCTGGTCGTCGGCAGTGAAAAGACTGTTTTCCTCTTAATGAAACATTCATGGCAGACTTTTATTCCCGAAGAGAAGGGAAGGGAAGTCAACGAGGAGTGCTTTAGGGAAGTGATCTTAGCGCCGATTTGCCTCTCTTGGATTTTAGTTAGATGGATGGAGATAGGTGGGCAAGAGATTAGAGGAAAGACAGGATATTATTTTAGGTGAAGTATCATCAGATATTGGTGACTTGGTATAAACAGACTTTTTTAAATCAGGGTTTTATTTACAAATGCTCAACACTGTGATCTTTGAAACATCTTCTAATTCCCAGAAAGCGAGGGGTCTAGAGGTGGCTGTGGGCCACTTGTGCATTGTAAGGCTTAAGTATGTTCATTGAAATTCTGTCTGGTTGGCGTCCGATCTCCAAATGTGCTGGCCACCCACTTTAACTCGCTCCAAACCGCACCCCCTCCTCCAGCCTGGACCAGCCGAAGGGTTAGAGTCGCAATCCTTCCCAAAGGTCTTGTGATGCTCACAGAAGCTGTGGGTTTGGCACTGTCCAGTGGTCTTCCCAGGTGCCCAGCCCCAGGCACTTGCCTCCAGGTGGCGAGGGGGGGGGCTGGCCAGGTCTCTTTAGGGCTGATGTTTCCTGTCCACGTGGATCCAAGGCCTGCCCAGGGAGGGCTGGTGCTCAGGGCCCAGTTCACCTGGCCCTTATTTTCCAAAGCTTCTGTCTGTATTTGGGGCTTTGCGGGCCTGGGACCATCTTAGGAAACTGGATCGTGGCCACTCGGTGAGTCATATTTTCAGGCTGCAATGATTTCCAAAGATTGTAAGTTCACTTATTTCCAGAAGTTGGCGTAGACGGTTCTTGGAGATGGTTGGTGTGATTGCTTTTCGGACCAAGCATTCAAGACAGAGCCGGCCTCTGGGGAGGTCAAGTTACCAGCGCTTCGGGTTCTCCGACCTGTGATTTTTTGTAGGTAACTAGACTTGCCAAAAAGGTCCCTCCATGGCCTCTTTAATTATGTGTTCTGCCCACACCTGAGAAGTTGTGAATGGATTTCAAATCGTCTCTCCGAGACGCTGCTAATAACTGCAGATGAAAAACAAGCCCGTCTCCCTCTGATCTCTTTACCCTTTGGCTCCTACCAGGGCTTTGTTTTTATCTCCCAAGATGATATTTTCATTCACCTCTGGATGAAAATAAGAATTAGGAAATATTTCTTTGCTTCTGTTGCTGCTTTTGAAGTTCATTAGTCTACAGAAGAAATCAGAAGGGACACGGCCACCTGTTAGGACAAACGGGGGGGGGGGGGGGGGGACAAGAATCAAGAGAAAACAACCTTGGCCCTTACCTTTCCCCCTGCAGAGTAGATACTGAAATGTGAGCGTGAACTTGAACTTCCAGCAGGCGGTGTCCTGAGTGGGACTTGAGGAAGGGGGTGAGGCTGGGGGCAGGTGTACATGGGTACAAAGGGGCTGCCGAGGGACAGGAGGAGTTCTCAGACTTTTCAAGAATGCTGCAGTAGGCGTCTAGGTGGGGGGACGTATCGGTGTTTCAGGGAGGAGCTTGGTGCAATCCACAAGAGGACACTGGGACCGGCTGCTCCGAGGGAGGCGTCTCTGGGCCTGTGGTGGCTTGCTGATCAGGGCATTAACCTCTGTTAACCCCTAAAGGAAACTTGGTGTCCAGGGGACAGCAGGTTCACTCGGTTAACTCTCCTGGCCCCTCTCCCCTCTGCCCTGCAGAGGAGGAGCTGGTCACTGGGCAGCAGGGTCCGGAACAGGAACACACCTCCGGGGCCCTATTCTCTCCTGCCCCTTTGCCTTATGGTCTGAGGGGCAGCAGGAATCATGCTGCCCGTCCAGGCTGACTGGGTCCCTCTACCCACTTCTCTAGCTCCTGTTCCCTCGGCACTGCCACCGTGTCCCCTTCACAGCTGCTGCTCACGGAGGACCTGACAGCCATTCTAGGTCCTCCCTCTCGTCGAGCAAGCAGTGTCTCCGTCGTCCCGCACGCTCTTTCCCAAGTTCATAGCTGCACAGCCCTGGAGCAGCCTGCACGGGGTGGAGTGTTCTAGACTCTGCTCGGCCCTGGCTCTGCCGCTCCGCAGAGGAAAAGGAAACGGCCTTGGTGTAGGAGAGCCGGCAGCCTCTCCCGGACACTCTGGCCTCCAAGCGTGGACGAGCTTACAGATGGCCCTGCTGGGCCTCCACGCGGCGTGCGAACTGCTTCATGATCCCTGAGCTAATGGGACTTTCTTTAGCAACTCCACACACAGTAGGTGCATCAGAAATAGTGATCAATGGATGGGCTCAGAAATTCTTTTAATTACTGAAATGAATGCAAACATCAAGTGAGAGAGAGAGGGAGAAAGGAGGGAGAAAGAGAGAGGGGAGGGAAGAAGTCAGAATGATTTATTTGTTCTTCCTGGAACATCTTTTATTTAAAAAAACAATAATAATGAGTCATGAGATTATTATTACAAAATAAGAAAATTCAAAAGGAGCTAGCCACCGGTGCTTCACGGATCCTAACTGGTTAAAGTGGAGACCAATTATTCAAGGAAAGTTAAAGAACGCCCAGCCTCCGCAGCAAGGAAGACAGCACTAGCCCATCATCCTCCGGTTTCTGCTTTTACACTCACCAAAGCTGGGTTTCATCTCATCAGTACCAGACGCCTCTGGGCAGAGAGCAGGCATTGTCACGGACCAGGCTTATTCAGCTTTTCCAGAACCTTCTATGTCCTAGTGAACCTCCCATCTAATTCTCAGGACCCTGAAACTTTCCCCAGGCCTGTCTGGTTCTAAGTGGCATTTCCCATACAGCCAGGTGGGGACCCCACCCTTCTCACCCCCACCTTGGCCCGACCTGCCCCTTACTTACCTGTGGGTCCCAGGGTTGGCACCCAGGCCGGCCCTCGCTGCCTCTCCACGTGTGAGTGGGCTGCCGGCTGAGGTCGCAGGCCCAAAGTGTCTGAGCCAGACTTTATGGGGCCCTTGGGACCCCGGACTGTATTTCCCTGGAGACTTCGAGGGCTCTGCGCCATCCACCTGGCCGGTGACTAGGATTCTGCTCTGGGTGCACCCCCTGCACCCCATCCCCCAGCTGCCATCTCGAGCACCGGCACCTTTCGGGGTGATGCCCTCTGTCCTAACTCCTCTGTCCCGCGAGCTGAGGCCCAGAGGCTGAGGGAGGCAGCACCCAATCCCTCCCACCGAGCTCAGGTGAACACACCCTCCGCCCCTTCATTTTCTGCCCTTCAGTCTGGACCCGGCCTCGGTGTGAACGATCCGTTGGTTTGGGGTTGGCAAGTGTTTTTAAAACAGCAAATTTACGTCCCCGTAACTCATGGAAGTGTGCAGA